TTTGCTAATGGAAGATATGTGGAGGGCACCGCTGAAAAATGGTTCGTGTCTGATAGATTTCACTAAAAGGATGGTTCACCCAAAATATGACAATCCTGTGCTCATTTATTCAAACTCAAAGGGATAGTACACCCTAAAATGAAAATTTACTCAGTTAACTCAAGTGATTCTCTCATCTCTTGAAAACAAAAGAAGATATTTTGAAGAACGTAACAATCAACTTCCATAGTAGGAAAAATAAAATCCTATGGAAGTCAATAGTTATGGGTCTGCAACATATTTCAAAATATCTTCTCCTGTTTAACAAAGGAAAGAAACTCATCAATGTTTGAAGTAAATGATGAGTAAATGATGACAGGTTTTTTAATTTTTGTGTGTACTATCCCCTTAAGTTGTTCTGAACATGTGAAAGGTTTGTTGTTGTTGTTGTGCTGGAAAGGAGATAATTTGAAGTGCATCGATGACCAAAACATTAAAGAAAAAATACTATAGTAAGTGGCCAGATTTCTGGTTACCAACATTCTTCAAAATATCTTCTTTTGTGTTCAGCAATAGAAACTCAAACAGGTTTGAAACAAATGTGGAGTAAATGACAGACTTTATATTTCTGGGGGAACTTTCCCTTTTACTTTAGTATTTCAAAACTATTAAATGTGTAGTTTCTTGTTTTTGATGAAACTGAATTCATTTGTATGTGTTATTGATTTCAGGCTATTGTAAAGTTGATGATTCTGCCTAAACACGAGGGTAAGTGCAAACACTGGCTTTCATATTTTCTTTTTAATGATAAAAATCACTTTTGTTTTTATTATTAATATTTTTCTATCATGCTTATATCACAAGCAGAGATCCTCACAGTGCAGATCTACAATCAAATACCAAACTGATGGACATTTGGTCTCTTATTTGATGTTATTATGAAGGACATTGTTTCAAAATTAATAAAAGCAATTTTCCAATAAATCTTGTTTTGTGAGCTGGAAAATCTCTGTAAAACTATGAACATTTAGTCTAAAATATGATATGACCGATGGTCTTGACCACAATTAATACTTTAACTTAGTGATTTTTAAAGTTACACAAAGTTTAATTCAATATGTTAAGTCAGTTTGACTGATTGTGAAATTAAGATTACAATAGGTTTATTTGATTCAACAAAAAAATAAAGGAAGGAAGCAAGACAGTGTTAGTATTAATAATAAAAATAATAATACAAACAACATTTCTTACTTACTCCCAGGCTTATCTATATTGAAACCAAACCTTAGCTGCACCATATTAGTGTTTTGTAACATCTAGTTTTTTATTTTTATGAGGTGGGTTGTTAGCCAAAAGCTCAACCGCCAATCTGGAGGACCAGGACATACACATACACTAAGGACAATTTAGCACAATTAACCTACAGCACATGTCTTTGGACTGTGGGGGAAAACCAACTGACCCAGCCGGGGCTCGAACCAGCAACCTTCTTGCTGTGAGGCGACAGCACTACCCACTGCACCACCTCGTCACCCACAAACATCATTAATTACCAAAAAAATGTTTTGATCCATTTAAAGCCAACAATATTAAAGAGCCTGTATTATACATTAAAAAGGGTCATATTTGGGTTTAAGGGTCTCCAACAACAGGCTGGTATGCATGCAAGGTCAAAAAACACTTTTATTGTCTTATAATCTGCATTTATTTTTACCTAATTATCCCAGAGACTCCCATGTGAATCGTTCAGCAATTAATTTGTTCCCAAACTCCTCCTTAGCATGAAGCTAATCTGCGCTGATTGGACCGATGACAGTCTGTTGCGATTGGTCGACAGCGCTCAGCGCGCGACAGAGTAAAACACCCACCACGGCTTATCAACAAAATTGAAGTAGTCAGAGTGCAGAGTGTATGTGTGAGCTTACCTGCCAACACACTGTTTTTCCCGGGAGTCTCCCGTATTTCAGACCTATCTCCCGCCACCCTACCGTTTAGTTATTTATTCTGGAAAACTTATGTAATTTCAACCATAATAGGGGCTCTCTTTAAAGAATATCTAAATAAACAGAAATTCATTAGTTAGGTCAAATAATAACTCTTTAACTGTATAAAGATTTGAAGAATTCAAGAAATAATCAAACTCTTATTTATATATAAAAACTTTATTAATGAAAATGGATAATTACTACAAAAAATGACACTGTAAAACTATTAATCTTAAAAAAAACATCAGCTTTAAGGCCAATCACTGCTACGTTCTAGCATGGCTAATTATTTTTGTGCAAATTTTATAAATGCATTTCCTTTTCAGAAGATATTTTACAGTGTGTACATGAACACATCATTTTCACATTTCACTTTTACATGCAGTGGAATAATAAGCATAATATAGTAACTAAAGATTTAGATTTTTAAAGTAATCTTTAGTTTTGTTGTGACTGTTAAATACAGTAACGTGATCACTGGAGTAATCAAAGCTTAAAGGCAGGGTGATATTCAATATTTAAAAACCTTTTCATTAAAAGATTACTATAAGTGAACACATGAGGCCAGTGAAATACACACTTGCTGCTACAACAACTGGAAATATGCACTTTTGTACTTCCATCTTAATTTTACAATAAATATTGGCGTGAAACTACAGCCAGTCATAAGCTCTTAATCAATGATTTAAAATCATCATATTGAAATCTTCTTGCCTTTTAACTCTGTACCCAGTGATATTTTAATTATCTCATTTGCAAGACAACAATATATAAAAAATACACATCTTTTGTTCTGTTTTTTTTTTTGTAAAACACAATCCTATCTATGTTTGGATATATTGAATTAACTGCTCATCTCCCACACTTGATAACAATAGTAATTATTACTATAAATATAGCTGCAAGCAGCAGTTACAGGACCAGGCACAGCTACAAAAACATTAGGGAAATCTGATTGGACATTTTTGGTCCAAAAATAGAATTATATTGTTTGCCCAGTAATACATTTTCAGTAATAAATGAAGCTTTCAGCCATTTATTACGAACTGAACTGAGCTTGGCCCTGAATAACTATTAATTTAATTAAACTAGCTTTCAAAACACTTTACAGTAAATATTGACTATTTTCAGAGCAATAATCATTCAGTCCTGAACTTGAATATTTCATTGCCTCTGGCCACTATAAAGCATCCATAATAAACACTGACGACAATGCAATTCATACAAACACATGATAAATGCATCTTTTTCACCTTGGCTTGGTTTCAAACATGTTTGCTTTCAGATATGTAGGCATAAATGTAACGATTTCTAATATTTCCACTTTTAACTTCATAATACCCTTTACTTTGCTTTTGTTTTCTCACAAAATGTTTTTGTTCTCTTCAAAACTGAGCTGCCTTTAAAATCTCCTCTGTTTCCTATAAAGAACAGAAAGGAGCCCTTCCCTCCAGAGGATACAACACATTTTACAGACACCGCTTTCTACTCACAGTTTACTCTTAATGTTCAGTGAGAGCTGCATCCTTGTAAAATGTGACAGAATTACACAAATATTAGGCAGTAAATCCAGAACATGTTCTCCTTTGGCAACACTAACTCCCTGCAGATAGGGTTTAATGGTCTTAACTTATAGAGAATATCCCTGTTAAAGAGCTTTATAGTAAGTGCAATATTTTTATTTTACAATAAATCTAATTATTGCGCTCCTATATATTAGCAATAGGCATGGGCCGGTATAAGATTCTGACGGTGATGATAACCTTGGATAAAAATATCACATGTCTGGGTAAAACACAAAACCTTTTCCTCCTTTGTACCCAATACGCTTATTTCACGCGGCCGCCATTTTAAAGAACCAAAGCGAGGCTGCGGTGGGAAGAAACCCGGAAGTATAGGACCAGCTCTGTAAACATTGCAGTAACATGCTGTGTACTACACACCTCCAGCTGTTGCCGAGATTTCAAAATGCAGAAATGGTGTAACCATCACTTTAATATTATCCAGTAAGTTTAAAATCAATTTAGCATCAAACAAAATCACAATCTCAGTGATACGCTTAAGTGTCCTCCTAGGCTTCAGCTCATGGCACTATAGTTAAACACCGTGAGGACGCTTCCCTGCTTCAGCCTGTGTAACCCGGGGAGTGATAAAACACTGCAGTCCTCTGTAGCACACCCTTACCGCTCTTCACCCAGTGCAAATACAGATACACGGACTGGAGCGCGAAGCAGCCGTCAAGATCAGTCGAGTCATCAAGCAGATCGCTCGGCTCGTCTGTGTTTGTGCTCAGTGTACAGCGGTGGGTGAACTGATGACCTTCTCGGCCAATCACAATCATTTCTGTTGAACACAATGGCAAATCAGCACTGTTTTAAGAAAGCCATCAACAGTGCCTTAAATGTTAGCGCAAAATTGCCGTTTTTTCTTTTAATTCAGTATTGTGACAAGCCTAATATAGTGAAAGAATCAGTTTATTAATTCGAGTTTGATAAATGGCATCTAAAACGTGTGTTTGGGAAAGAAAACGCTAGCTAACTAGTGCCATTTCCCTTAACTTAGCTGAAAATGAGCTCTGATATCCCTTTTTACATTCACCATTCATTAAGAACGGACCTCCGGGTCACCCGGAAGGCGGAGAAATTATAAATTTGTGCCACTTTCTCTTCGCTGATAAGATATAGCCAGCTATACAACATTCCTATGTAACTCCCAATGATACTTCCGGCTTTCTTCCCACCGCAGCCTCGATTTCGCTTTTGAAAATGGCGGCCGTGTGAAATCAGTCTATATATTTTAATTTGGGAAACATTTAAAGTATTTTGGAGCATTAAAAATGTCTAAATAATTCAAATGAATTATTGACTTCTGTTGTCTTCATTAGTTACAAAAACACTTTTGCTGGACATACTGTTGTCCTAAAAAAACTACAAAAAAATGTAAATAAAAATGTTACGCATACCTTAGGAATGGTATAGCAGAAAATGTTGACGGTTTAAAAACCCTGACTTTTCCAAACCGTGGTATACCTTGAACACGGTTATCAGCCCATGCCTAATTAGCAGCACTCTGTGCTGAACTTTTGAGCCCTCTCGAGTCACACAGAAGTGTGTCTTTAACCCTGGCTAATGGCAATGAGTCTCCTGTTTTGTATAACAAAGGCACTTCACAAATGCACAAAGCTAAGCTGGCACTGCTTTTGCTACCATGTCTCAAAATGTACAGGTTTTCTGCAAAGCTATTATATTAAACTGGCTGTTGCAGCAAAACTTCTTTATAGACGAGTAACGTCATACACTAAAGTTTCATTAAAGATCCCAACCAAGCCAAGTTGACCGATTTACAAACACGACTGACACATTTGCTCTGTTCTGTCCTGCAGGGCATCTCCACCGACTCCCAGAGAATCCCTCATCATTTGTTTGGGAAAAATCCTCCATTTCTTAAACTTTCACTAATAGTTCAGCACTGATTTGTCAATTTTCTCCTGTGACAGTTATTCGCCATCACTAATGCTGTTTTACTTAATAATTCTATAATCATTACAATCAGAACTCTTTAGATAATCCGTGAAAACAGTCCTACAAAACCTGGACTAATATTTAATGCTGATGCAGGATGTGTGTCCACACACACTCACGTCCTCTGGTCTTCTCAGGTCAGATTTCACACGGATGTATCTGTGTGCACAGCGTGCATGTGTGTTTGTTCCTCCTCACTCATTCCTGGAGGTGATGTCCTGAAGCAGAGACACAAAATGGATGCCATTCAGATTTCGAGCATTGACGACCGACATGTATTTAAAGCGCTCCAGTATTTAAAGTGTCAGGAAATACATGACTGGTTGTGTTTCTGCAAAACCCAAGTAGGTATCGCTGCAGCCCGGAGACCTGCAAGTGGGAGGAATTACACCGCAAGTAGGTTGGGTGACCTCCAAGTGGGATGGACTCAAACCGCAAGTAGGTTGGGTTTATCAGGTTACTGTGAGGTTGGGTTTAGGTGTAGACGTTAATAAAACACAACAGGTTACTGTGAGGTTGGGTTTAGGGTTGGGTTTAGGTGTAGACGTTAATAAAACACAACTGGTTACTGTAAGGTTGGGTTTAGGGTTGGGTTTAGGTGTAGACGTTAATAAAACACAACTGGTTACTGTGAGGTTGGGTTTAGGGTTGGGTTTAGGTGTAGACGTTAATAAAACACAACTGGTTACTGTGAGGTTGGGTTTAGGGTTAGGGTTAGGTGTACAAAATCAGAAAGCACAATATTGAAGTCTAAATACGACTAAATAAGGTTTGTCCAGCCCACTTGGAGCTCCAAGACCCACCCACTTGGAGCTGGCTCCGGCCTCCATTTATACCCTTCTCGCAAAACCTGGTATATTTATATGCACTTTTTTATGAAACGTCCACAAGATGGTGCTGTTTGTCGTGTTTAACCAAACTACAATAAAGCACACTCAAAGGCATTGTACACCCAACTGAAAAGTCTATTATCATTTACTCTCCCTTCACTTGTCAAACCTGTTTAAGTTTCTTTCTTCTGTAGAACAAAAAAGAAGACATTCAGAAAAAATCATGAAAACCGCTAGCCATGTTGACTTCCATATTGTTGTTTTTCTTACTACGGTAGCCAATGTTAACAGCATAGGTCTCAAACTGGATTCCTGGAGCGCCGCAGCTCTGCACAGTTTTGCTCCAACACTAATCAAACACAGCTGATCCAACTAATCAAGGTGTTTTAGACTACTAGAGACTATTAAGCAGGTGTGAATTAGAGGTGGTTGGAGCTAAACTGTGCAGAGCTGCTGCCCTCCAGGAAGTTTGAGACCATTGGTTTACAGGTTTTCAACATTTTCCAAAATGTCTTCTTCTGTGTTCAACAGAAGAATGAAACTAATAAATGTTTGAAACTACTTGGGGGAGAGTAAATAGTAAGTATTTTTTTTAATTCAGGTTGAGCGATCCCTTTAACGTAACCAAATGATAACAAAAATTAATTTCTTAATCTTTTGTCAAACCATGTTCTACAGCACTCGTACAAATGACCAAATGGAGATGTTAAGAAAACGTTCTGTGTTTGCTGGAGTTATTTCACTTATTTGTCGATAACCTGCCACATAATCATAGTTTGTGAGAATAAAGACCAAACGTTTTCTTCCCAATCTTCATTTCACCAAGAAACTGCGGTGAAATAAGCTTATTCCAGCTCCATTTCTAACCGGCTAAATTAATTTATTATTTGAAGTGTATATGCATAAGAAAATATTTTGTTGATTATGATGAAATATGTTTAGTTTGAGTTATTGTTTTAAGTGTATGATATTCTGTTCGAAATACATAAATCCAATCAAATCAAACTGCGGCGAAAAGTATGTAGCGGTACATTCTGTGGTTTTGCAGAAACATAGCCAGAGTTGTGTATTTCCAATGAGCCTGGGTTGCCAAATCATGAGCACACATACTTATGTTATTATTCTATGGTGTGAAGGCTAATATAGTTTTGTTTGCTGTGAAAAAAGCCTTTAATCTGTCATCAGATTCTTACCTCAGTCTTTGCTCTCCTCCAGCGCACTGAAGAACCGGGTTTAGACACACCTGAGAAGACAGAGGCAATGACATTCACATAATTTACCCTCCAAAAATTAAGAAATGAAGTGATTATGAACCGTATGAATAAACTTTTTTTAATCATCGCTATATATTTTTTAATCAAGAATATATCTGCCTATAGAAGTATAAATGTGACAAAGCTGGCTATTTAACTTGATTTCTTTACTCACATATTGAAGAGAGCAGAACCACAAATGCCACGGCTGCAGAAACACCTCCCAGCAGCCACCTGTGCATATTATGACATCATTAACCAAAGCTCCACCCACTTACAAACAAAATAAATGTCCACACACATTGGGATTTAATGTTTTATGGGGACTTCCCATAGACACATAGTGGACTGTAAATTTTATCCCTTTAAATTTTAAACCCAAACCTCTCAGGAAACATTCTGCAGTTTTACATTTTAAAAATACCTCACTATAGATCATTAAAAAAAATACTGGTATTGCTATACTACTGGGGACATTCGACCCCCACAACTTCACAAATACTAGGACCACCCACACACACACACACACACACAAACTTTTTCATTACCCGGATGAGATGGCGATGCAGAGGCACAGAGTGAGGATGAGGAGAAGGACTTTCATGAACACATTTTCTGAAACACATAATCAAAATTAATAACCAAAATCCTTTCCATGTTCATTTAAATCTCACAATAAGCAAAGGTTTCTTCCTCACCTGATGAAGTCTTGCTGGAAGAGCCGTAACTATCGAGGTGGCACACAGATGGAGGAGGGACATCCAGGAGGCCGCTCACTGATTGGCTGAAATGTTCATGGGTGGCGCATGAATCACACTGAGGCTCCTCCTCCTCAAGCTGAGTCTGAGGAGGCAGTTTATCAGGCGAGGAAACAGGATCTATAGGATCTTTCAAGAAAAACACAGAAGTTCACAAAATTAAACAGGCAACTATTTTGGTCACACTACAATAAGGTTTCATTAGTTGAAGTATTTACTAACATGAACTAATTATGACCAATACGCATACAGGATTTATTAATCATAGCATTCACTAATGCATTAAGATCCAAATTGATGTTTGTTAACATTAGCTAATGCATCGTGAGTTAACGAACAAACAACTGTATTTTCATTTGCTAATATGAACAAATACTGTATTAAATGCATTGTTCGTTGTTTGTTCATGTTAGTAATACAACCTTATTGTAAAATGTTACCACTAGTTGTTTTAAACTAGTTGTTTTGAAGTATGAAACTAACCATAGGTGAAGCTGATGGGCGATTCTTTCTCATAACTGTGGTCAAACTCCTCCCATGAAGACTGGATGGGTGTGATTGGCTCAGATCTTCTAAAAACACTTCCTTCCAGCCAGGATTGGCACGACTGGCTCATGTCACTCAGAAGGCTGGCCAGTGATCTTTTTGCCCGCCGCTTTCGTCTAAATATGCTAACACACACAAACAATAAGGTTTTATTTGATGTGAAGATGCCGCTCAACACCCAGAGACACTTTTAGCACCCTTAAAGGGACAGTTCACCAAAAAATATGAATTTTGCCATTAGAAAATAAAATGCATTATTTATGTATTATTTTCCAATGTGCTTTTTTCAACTCTAAGCACTAATTTACTCACTCAAAACCTTATTGAATTTCTTCTGTTGAACAGAAAAGAAGATATTTAGCTGAACTTCTAGATTTAGACGACTTCTGAAGTCCTTTTTGTACATACTATGCTTGTCGATCAATGGTATTGCATCAACCAGCATACTTCAAAATTCTTCTTTTGGTTTAACAGACTTTCCTCCTAAATGTTTAAAACCACATGAGGGAGGATAAATGATGAGGTAATTTTCATTTTGGGTGAACTGTCCCTTTAAATGTGTTATTAGGAAGGAATTAGTTAAAAAAAAACTTTTAGTTTCCATGAAATTTGCACCAAAAAAAACAATAAAAAACCTTTTTGATTCATTGAGTTTTGAATCAGTAAAAAAAAAACTGAAACATTTTTGCACGATTAATTATAGTTTTAAAAAAATTATTAAACTTTAAAATGGTCAAAAAGTATGGTGTTTGTTGGTGTCAATGGCGTAGTGGTTATAACTTTTCCTAAGCTTATCCTTCCCTTCTCTCTGCTCCCCACGCTTTCCTGTCAATACTATCTACTGCCCTATGAGGTGCGCTATTTGCATTTAGCCTAAATAGACATTCCAAAATCGGCGTTTTAAACAGTTAAACTATATAGTATAAGATAACACACACAGCTGCCTAAAGATTGCTGTTTTCACACAGCTTACAGGTAGCTTACATGCTCAGTATACTGTATTAGTTCAGTATGCTCACCATGTTACATAACTGCCCCCTGCAGGCCATGTATTTCTTGTTAGACCATGTTGTGCTGTGACGCAGTTTACTGCGGAAATATGTGATTTTTCTTTATATCACTCGCGCGTTCTCAGTAGCCGTATCTGTATCAATTAAAATATTATAAAAAAATGTATGTGCCTTTCAGTTATGTGTGTCTTTCCCTATTATTAGACATGTGTACATTATTTATACAAAAAATTAGATGTCAAATATTACCATAAATAGGCATAATAACAGATATATTTACTGCATTTTGTCTGTGGCAGTGTGGGAGTTAAAATTCTTTTTACCAAAAATATTATTGTGGTGAATTTCACAGTGTGTGTATTTTTTATTAACAGACATGAATAAATAAAATGTTTTAAAAAGGAGATATTATCTTGCATATAAACTCTGACATATGCATATACAATGTTCAAAACAATATATAAAAACCATTCTCTGCGGTAGTGTTAATTGTTCCAAAGCAGTTTTACAAAAAGCGTGTATTAATACATTACATTATAGCTGTCAAGTCATAGCTGATATGCAATTACACAATATAATGCGGTTTAGAAAAAAAGTAAAAATTATTCCATATTTTTCTAACATTGTTTTTGGTCCCACTTTATTTTGATGATCCGTTTGTTGAATTTAAGTTACATAGCATCTACATGCCAAGTAATTCTCATTAGATTATAAGCAGACTGTTGGGTTGGGGTTGGTGTAAGTTGACATGTACTTGCAAAGTTTCTTATAGTCAGCTAAATGTCTGTTGAAGGAGCGGTATCAACAGATATTAAGAAGACTCTACTAATACTCAAATGGACCATCAAAATAAAGTGTTACCTTGTTTTTTAGTGTGTTTATAAGAAAGTGTCTGGTGCATATAGAGAAGAGTGTTTCTCGTCAATATTTCATGCAAAAAAAAAAAGGTTTTCAATTGTCATGAGGAGGATTTCTGAATACTAATACAGCCTCTTTAAAAATGTTTAGTCTTAAATAAAGTAAATTCATTCTCTCTGCAGAACACACATAACAACAAACCCAATGTGTCGTGAGGCTCACCGGACGAGATTCTCCTTGTATGTGACGCTGGTGTGTGAGGGAGTCAGAGTAACGTTTCCCTCGTCATCTGTGTTAAAACTGTCCTCCGTCAGAACATAATAACCATTGGATAATAGGCGGGGACTTCTGCGACACGCACACACTGATCCTGTCAGTGGATTGGTGGAGAAACACTCGAAGGATGAGTCAGAGAAGTGGGAGGAGTCCAGGCTGAAAGAGTTACACAGGCGGATTTATATGGATCCACAAACAAGATGTACAGCATACACATACAGTTGAAGTGAGAATTATTAGCCCTCCTGTTTATTTCTTTCCCCAAATTCTGTCTAAAGTAAAGAAGATTTATTTTCAACACATTTCTAAACATTATAGTTTTAAGAACACATATCTGAAGACTTATTACACCTTTGCCATGTTGACAGCACATAATGTTTTACTGCAAGGTTTCTGCAGGCTTCATCAAGTCAAATTTAAAACTTTTAAAGAACCTTTAAAAGTCCTCTACGCGCTGTTTATGAAAATAAAAGTCTTTGAATATTTTTTCAGACACATTTAGCAGCTAGATGATAGTCAGATAACGTTTCTATGTTCCTTCTTAATGCCAACAGTGTAAAAAATGATCGATAAAATGCTTATGATAAACCACTGTTTGTTTACCTTCAAGCTCTGCTTCAGTTGCTTGACTTGTGTGCACGTGAAGCAGCCGGTGAGCACCAGCACACACACACATACTATATGTACCATTAACCATCATCAAAAGTCTGACCCCTTCTATGTGTACAAATCGGTACAAATACAAACGTGGCTATTTAAGCAGATATTTACCGAAATTACTGCGTGAAAGGGGCTATTGATAAAAATATTTTTATTATGGACACAATTACATGAACGATCAAAATATATATATATTTGTTGGCTCTTTGTCCAAATGGATTGAGTATAACTCCTATTCAACATAATGCATTTCTGTTATAAAACCTTGCCTATTTTATGTCTATTTATAAATATTATGCCTGCTCCCCTTACTCTAAATATCTTTTGCATAAATGGAAGATCATGTAAAGAGAAATATTGCTCTGTTATTATCATGTATACAGTTGAAGTCAGAATTATTAGCCCCCCTTTGAATTTTTTTTCTTTTTACGATATTTCTCAAATGATGTTTAACAGAGCAAGGAAATTTTCACAGTATGTCTCATAATATTTTTTTATTTGTTTTATTTTGGTTAGAATAAAAGCAGCTTTTAATTTTTTAAACACCATTTTAAGGTCAAAATTATTAGCCCCTTTAAGAAAATTTTTTTGATAGGCTACAGAACAAACCACTGTTTTACAATGACTTGCCTAATTACCCTAACCTGCCTAGCATAACCTGATTAACCTAGTTAAGCCATTAAATGTCACTTTAAGCTGAATAGAAGTGTCTTGAAAAATATCTAGTACAATATTATTTACTGTCATCATGGCAAAGATAAAATAAATCAAATTAAATAAGTTATTAAAACCATTATGTTTAGAAATGTGTTGGAAAAATCTCTGTTAAACAGAAATTAGGTTAAAAAAACGGGGGTAAATAACTCGGACTTCAAGTGTACATATATGGATGTTGACTGATTGGGTAGCTTTACTTCGACAGGGGAAACTGAAGACCTTTTTAAAAATGTTTTAAGACCTACAACACAATATTTCAGGGAATTTTAGACTTTATAAGGCCTTGCATTTTGCTTTTGAAATTTAAGACATTTTAAGACCCCGCGTACACCCTGTACTGGATATTTTACTACTAGTAGATACTAGTATTCAGCTTAAAGTGACATTTAAAAGCTTAACTAGTTTAATTAAGCAAGTTGGGGTAATTAGGCAAGTCATTGTATAATGATGGTTTGTTCTGTAGACGATCAAAAAAAAGCTAATAATCTTGACATTAAAATGATTAAAAAAAAATTTTTAACTGCTTTTATTCTAGCCGAAACAAAACCAATAAGACTTTTTCCAGAAGAAAAAATATTATTGGAAATACTTTGAAAAATTCCTTGCTGTTGGGATATATCATTTGGGAAATATTTTAAAAAGAAATAGAAATTCAGAAAAACTTTAACTCTTTATATTATACAGAACATAGAGAAAATAACTAGGAGGAAGTTCTACAAATATCCTGCACTCTTGTCAGCATGTCTGTACCTGTGACAAATGTATTCAGCCTCCTGCCTCCTGGTCTTAACTGGAGAACCTGTTACGAAAAGTACAAGCATAACTATATAGTCTTATCTAAGAATGTGTAAGATAAAGGAAGAATGAGAGAGGGATGTGATATGAGGGCGCACATACTTGTCACCGCTCCTTTGAAGAAGAAAGCCATGGCTCTCACACTGCTACCAAACCTGTCACACAAACAATAACATTTTGCTCAAATGAATGGAGAGTATGCAATCTTTTAAACACTCACACACCTTTTTTGCTTACAGAAAATGAGTTTTGATAATAATTGTTTGTTCACATTAGATATTAATTTATTTATTAATTTTCCTTCGGCTTAGTCCCTTTTTTCATCTGGAGTCACCACAGTGGAATGAACCGATAACCTATCCAGCATATGTTTTATGTAGCGGATGCTCTATGTCACCTGCTATAGATATGCATTAGCTAATATGATCTTAAATTAGCCATAAACATTTAGATGTTTGAAAAAATACAGTTGTTTGTATTAGTCGACATTGCTTTGTTGCATGTTAACAAACAGAAATAAAGATTTTAATTTGTTCTATATCTAATATTGTTTTACATTAATTTCGTCAATGTTTAAATGAAATAATGTGTATTTTCATTGTTCGTTTATGTTAACTAAAATAGGTAAGTAATGTTAAAAAATGAAACAATATAGTATTTATTTATTTATGTTATTTTATTTTATTTTTTTTAGTTTTACTGTTACAGAACTGTTTTTACATCTGGATCTTTTTTGTGTAAAGCCCTTTGAGAATTAAATTTAAACGCGCTATATAAAAACTATAATTTTATATTAAAGTCCTCAAATTTCTGAAAAATTACAGTTATTATTGTTATTATTTTTATTATACTTTTTAAATTTTCATATTGATTTCCTAATTCAATCCACTGCATCATGTTTATAAGCACAAAGGTTTTATTTTATTTTAATGTATATTTAGGACTGTAGTTTTGATTTATTTTTTAATTTTACTTTTAAGGTAAATTTCCTTTTAAGGTAATTTTACTTTTAAGTTTTTTATAAGTATTTTTTTTAAGTTTTATGCTTCCAGATATGTTTATATTTAATGTTTTTAGACAACACTGTGCCACTGTTTTAACTTAAGATAAAAAAAACAATGTATAGCCACCATACCGCCCCTTTATTTATTTATAAAGCAAAGCACATTTAAAAACAGCAACAAAACTGACCAAAATGCTGTACATACGACAGAGTAAATGTAACATTGGTCAGTTGATACCAGTGTTAACATTGGTACCAGTTAGACACACCGGACTACCTCCGTATATATTATGACACAGTCACTTTATCATAATTATCACGATTACAAGCCTTTTTGCATTATATACTGCTCTTTATCTGTACAACTCTGCTTTGCACCCATTTTCAATATGCCCTTAATGTTATTGTATTGTTTACAAATTTTTATTCCTTGTGTATATTTTTAGACCACTTTTTATGTATATATTTTTAGACCACATCTTATGTACAATTGTATGTATTGTAAATTTTCTTTTTCTCAAACTCTATTTTATATTATTATTATATGTTAGGCACCTAGAGTCTGAGAGTAACATAACTTCGGTTCTCTATATGTCTATATGTTCTATATGTCCAAAAATTGACAATGAAGCTGACGTTGACTAAAATATAGAGACAACAGAATACATTTAAAAATAAAGCAATCGAAAAAACTATTATAATATTAATATTAAAAAGCCAAACTGAACAGGTACGTTTTTAAGAGTGATTTGAACATAGATAGTGAGCATGCCGTTCTAAACCAAACATTTTACTCAAACCTATACATAATAATTCCAGCAATTTCTTTCCATAGCCATATATATAAGGTAACTATATAATTAGCAATTAGACACTAAATTAGACACTAAATTACAGGCATTCATTTGTGTGATGGATATCTAAATGAAATAAGTCATAAAGAGTTTCCAGTTTTTTTTTTTTTCTTCTTAGCTTGCATTCCTATCAATATTTATTCATTTGGTAGTAGCAGGAGTGTAAAATGAGGAGGGGTCTCTCTGTCAGGACTGAAGGAGTGGGATGGGGAGGGGGATCAGGGAGCCATGATGATCCAGATGGGGATGATGCTGGCAAAGTAGGAGGAGATCTACTGTACTTCCTGTTAACCACTTCCTGTCTGAAAGACAATCTGATTGGCTGCTCACAGTGTCATGTAATGTGTGTGTGTGTGTGTGTGGTTGTATCTGCTAGAGAAGCTGAGACCAACGGCAAAGAAAGAGGGAGTACAATAATACTCTCTCTCTCTCTCTCTCTCTCTCTCTCTCTCTCTCTCTCACACACACAATGCAACTCGTTTGTTTTCTCAAAAATCTGTTCCCAGAGTGATCACATGACTCTCTTCTGCTTTGCACTTTTTGTTTGTGTTTGAAAGTCCCCCAAACCCCCTTATTTCCTGTAATCTCTCTAAGCTAAAAATAAATGAGCACAACACTATGAAAAGTATTAGTTAGCACTATTAGTATAAATAAAAAAATTAGCAAATACAGAAAAACAAGAACTGGCAAAGCAGGAGGAATAACCGCAGCTTTTGCAGAAGTATGAAATGAGAGGCTGAAACACCAAAACTCAATAAGGAAACGTGTGTGCCAACCACAAAACCACACACACACATGCACAGAAACACACCAACAACAGGAGCTCACAATACAAATATGAACAAAAGAAAATATCTATTTTGCTGGCTTTCTGTCATTATTTTGTTTCTTATTATATAATATTACTTCATTATTTATATTGGTGTGATATATATTGTATGATTTAGGAGAAAATACATATTTTGCTGCAAGCAGGGTGCAGAAACTGTGTTTTAGGATATTATTAATAATTGAGGATGCAATAAATGTATCAGTTTAGACGTGTTTATGTTTTTTAAGACTTCTTTGATTGTTTATTGTTAATAAAAAATCTTTAAATGTGTTACACTTTGAGATACTTAGTGTTTTGTCAACATTTTTCATAAACAAAACTAAATCCTACATAAATAATGCATTATCATGTATAATAACAAAATTATAATAATACAAATATTGGATCTGAAGGAATATAACAAAGGCTAAATATATAACTTACTTAACGGAAAGTGATGTGTATTAAGTGTGTTTACAGGAAACCTGGTGACCTCGTTAGTTTGATGTTCTTAATTCTGTGTTCAGACGCGACGCTCCTCGACTAATTTGTTGCACGGCTCCATTGAAATACGCGAAACACAAACACACACACATATATCGAGCGGTGAGTTTATATACGGTATAAGGCATTTATACCGTTTATTAAATATACAACCTCGGTGCATAACGATAACATAAAGTAACTGTGCTTAACCGTAATGCGCGAATAACATCCGGTTTCTTCTCGAAACATTTGTTAGCGCCGAATCTGTACAGCAACTACACAAAACATACAAAAGTAGCGAGATTAAGAAAGAAAGGGGAAAACAACACTTACCTAAAGCACGGAGAATGCGGATAGCGGTGCAGATCAAGCCTGTCCGCTTACCTAAAAACATTGACATGCGCGAAGAACCACGCCTACAGCACAGACAGAAGAAGAGAGAGAGAGAGAGAGAGAGAGAGAGAGAGAGAGAGAGAGAGAGAGAGAGAGAGAGAGAGAGAGAGAGAGCTGCTCACAACAAAACTTCTCTGAGGAAAACAGTTTTTGCATGTTCAGATTTTGATCAGATGTAACATGCATTCAAATAAAACTGAAGATGAAAATTTTTACTTACGTCATTCCAAATTGGCACGAACTCCTTGTGTGGATCACATTAAGAGATTTCGAAGAATGCAGGTATTATATTATATTCAAGTTTATTTGTTTAGCGCTTTCACAATAAGTATTATTTCAAGGCAGCTTTACAAAAAGTGTACATTTTTGTATTACAAGCCAAATCAAAAAGGTTAAGGTTATTATTTACCATAACTTATACGCTACTAATAACTTTAATTAGTAACTAATTGTCAATAGCTTTTAACAGTTTGAGTTATATAAACATGGGTAACCTCCAATCATGTAGTATATAGGTGATGTTAATGTTTAGATGTTCAATAAAGTACGTTTCGTCCTCAAAGTCCTCGGATGGTTGGCATCATCTCTTCTCAGGTCGTGTGTATTATACTGTATCATTCCAGATTCATGCTGCAAATATGAACCTAAATCACTCAGGATGAGTCTTTGCTCAAAGTTAAATGCTGCTCAGAGGTGGAATTCATGCATTTTCAATGCAATTACAATTGTACATTTCAGTGCTAGAGGCTGACAACAGGCTTAACCAAGTCTGGCTTTCATGCAACATGTTCTCAATGCATTTTGATCAGGCATTTGTTATAAGCCTTAACAAAAAAAACTGTAGTTTTATTAAATTATTAAATGTTATATCATATTAAATGTCAAAGGTGGCATACAATTTATAATCTATTAGAATGTTGTAATTTGTATTTCCATTAGTTAACAAGGACTTTGAATCTCATAATTATGAATTATCATAATGTAAAATTGAGCTTAAAATAATACAGCAGGCGAAATAAGTATTGAACACATCACCATTTTTCTCAGAAAACATATTTCTAAAGGAGCTGCTGATTTTAAATTTTGTTTAGATGTTGATACCAAAGATATCCATATATATGCAAAGAAAACAAATCTAATTAGCTTACATATTAAATTACGTGTAATGAAATGATGCAGGGAAAAAGTATTGAACACATGAAGAAAGGGAGGTGTAGAAACTAAGGCAGTAAAAGCCCAGACAGCAGCTGAAATCTCTCAGTAGTTATTCAGAAATCCTCTGCATCCTCGTCATTGTAAATTTAAATTTGCTGCTTCAGTCCAACATCTACATTAGCAGAATGATAAAGATGAAACCAGAGTGGACATTTCAGCAAGACAATGATCCAATGCACAGCCAAGCAAACTCTCAAATGCTTTCAGAGAAAGAAAGTCAAGCTGTTGAATGGCCCAGCCAATCACCTGATTCTAATCCAATAGAAAATACAAAATAAAGATCAGATTTCATAGACGAGATCAACCATCAAGATTTTGACTCTCTGTTGCAATGCATGTGACTTCATTCTCCATATGAAAGGCGTCGTTAAGCTGCCATCACCAAAAAAGCCTTTTATATAAAGTGTTAAATACGTCTCAGTTGTTCAGAACTTTCTCCTTGTGTCATTTCATTGTTATTACACAGAACTCATGGTACAGTTTTTTTATTTATTTATTTTTATTTCTATGTTTGTGTTTTTTTGGGTATTTACCCATTTAAGTCAGGTTTAATTCCATGTCAACACCTCCTTTAGAAATATTATTCCCAGGAAAAAACATGACGTGTTCAATACTTCTTTTCCCCGCTGCATCTTCTATAGTAAAAAAAACCTACAGGTTACACAGGTTTAGAGCAACATGACAGGAAATCTAAATAATGAATAAACTCTTTATACATACATTTCTGCTTTTGACCACTAGTTATTAATGCTTATAATCTCAGAAGTACAAAAACTGATGCAAACCCAAAATGTTTCCCCTGATATTTCTTAGTTTTTTTTGCCTGTGTCAGATTGTTCTTAATTTTGAATCACTTTATCCAATCTTCATTTGAATAGTCTTACACCACTCATCATCTGCTGCAAACTAGCCCTCTTTATACAAGAGAAATCCTGTAAATAATACAAATCAAAACAGGATTAAGACAAAAAGTGCATTGTTCTCCGACTGAACACAGACTCAACAAATGTTTCCTCAGGATGTGGACTGATAAGTTGTGCAAATGAACTAATGCAGTACTTAACAATCTCTCATGTTTCTCTTGTGTCATGTGCGAGGATGACATCATGGAAGAGTTACAACATGTGTGTGTGTGTGTGTGTGTGTAATGCTGAAATCATTCCACCAACACCCCACTCTCTTTCTCTGGGGACAGTTATGTAAGGTACAAGTTTTACAAGTTAGAAGTTTCTAATGAAAGTGTTCAATTTATTATTCAATGCTACATGTTTTGTTATTTACACTTAAAAACACACATTAAAAACCTTTATAGAAAATCTAGCCCACTCACACATCATCGGCGGTGAGTGTGTGTTTCAATAAGCCTGCGCATTGGGCTCTAAGAGATGTGTAGCGTGCATGTCTCGGGTCATGTTGTTTTTCTCTCGGAGTTTAGCTTGAAGTAGCGTGTGCTCCACCACCCCCATCCGAACATCCATCTGCTCAATCTCCTGCTTCAGCTTGGTCAAACTCTGACGGATTTTCACTACTGGCGCTGCAGCACAAAACACATCGACACGTGTGAAATGGCACTGACATAAACAAACCGCACTGTCAATGTTGTTGTGTGTGAGAGTGTGGTTTTACTGTACCTCCATCTGACATGCTGCTGCCTTTCTCTTCCATTTCCTGCTTGACTTTGTCTAACTCCTCACTAATCTGAAGCACAAATATAATGAATATTACAATTAGAGAATGAATTAAAAGTGTTTTTTCACAATTCAAGGTCACTGCTTATGCTATTTGAAGTTATTCTAACAGGAGTTAAAAAGAAACAAAAACATCCCTTAATCTCATTGCTCAATCAGTTCAACTCTACAGAACAGATGGAATTAATTGCCAGGGCAGCTCTGAACAGGGTAATGATCTGTAGCTTGGCATAAAGTGTCTCCACGTTTAAGAGAATTTGGACTGACAACACAACCTGCAGTGAGAAAACCTCTCATTACCAGAAATAGAGTGCATCCTGAAAGCAAGTGTTTCCACATTTTAATGTTACAGCCTTATTCCAAAATTGATTTATTGAACTTTATCTATTTACCCAACATTCTACACACAATACCCCATAATGACAATGTGAAAAAAGAGTTTTTGAAACTGTTGCAAATTTATTAAAAATAAAAAACCTGAAAATTCAGATGTACATCAGTATTCACAGCCTTTGCCGTGAAGCTCTAAATTGAGCTCAGCTACATTCTGTTTCCACTGATCATTCTTGAGATGTTTCTGCAGGTTAATTGGAGTTCACCTGTGGTAAATTCAGATGATTGGACATGATTTGAAAAGGCATACACCTGTCTATATAAGGTCCAGGGTTGACAGTGCCAAAGCACAAACCAAGCATGAAGACAAAGGAGTTGTCTGTAGACCTCCGAGACAGGATTGTCTGGAGGAACAAGGTTAAGGAAGGTTACAGAAAAATTTTCTAAACCTCCACTTTGTTTTCAAATCAATGCATTTTGAGTGCCCAAAAGGACGCTGCCATGTAAAAACACAAACAAAACACTTAAAAATCCTGGTTTTGGCTGACAATTTTGTTGTGTTAATGACCCCTCAATCAATCAGCCAGCAATTTGTTTAGTCTTTTTTCTTCTTTTTCCTTGAAGCAAGCTAAATAATCTGCCAAAGATGAAAGCAAAATAATCTTATGTCAAAAGGAAAAAAAAAGATTATTTTGCTTACCCCATTTGCTAATTTTAGCTTTTTTTTTAAGGAAAACTCACTTAATTTGGCATATTATTTCTTTTAAAAAGATAATAATTTTTGCTTGTCTAGAAAATGCTTTGTGATTTAAGAATCCATAGATATTTAGACTAAAAACAAGACAAAAAAAAGAAAATTTTTAGAAAAGCAGTTTTTGCAGAGTCAAACAGCAAAATGGGCATAGCAGTTATTTAAAGCTGAAAAAACTGACATGATAAAATGGCCTATCCATTTCATTGTAGTGTCCTGATCTAAACCTGCTTAAAACATCTGAGAAAAAAAAAACTCCCCAAACCTGACCAAACAACCTGTCACAAATGAGAAATTGAGCATTTGCACGCCACAAAGATCCAACAAACCAATCAATTCCCCGATTGGCGAATCACATCCTACTTTAATTTATATGTTTCAGAATATTTGTCAATTTGAAATTAAGGAAGAAGGAACTACTGCAATTTTTTTTTAAAACATGCTAGCTTAGACTCACCTCAGCCAAAATCCTGGTTCTCTCTGTGACACCTCCACTGGCCTGCTGATAAAGCTCCTTCACCTGGGAGACAAAAGTGTTTGCAATTGACAACTCTATGTTTGACCACTCTATGAGTAATAACCGTTTGGGTTTTGATTGGTTGAGCTGTTCACCTTGTTGAGCTGTGATTGTGCTTGCCGGTATTCTGAAATAAGATGCTCGAGCTGAGTGTTGAGATATTTCTCACGACTGCTCACTTTCTCCAGAGTTTTGCTGATGTCCTCCCTCAGCTTAAACAGACAACCCTAAAAATATACACATATACATTTCAGAATTAGTCAATATTCCAGTGTTTTTTTTTGCACATAAAGCCTGAATTTATTTGATTGAAAAACAACAGTAATAATTTGGTGATTCATTCATTCATTCATTTTCTTGTCGGCTTAGTCCCTTTATTAATCCGGGGTCGCCACAGCGGAATGAACCGCCAATTTATCCAGCAAGTTTTTAAGCACCGGATGCCCTTCCAGCCGCAACCCATCTCTGAGTCTGGGAAACATCCACACACACATTCACACACACACTCATACACTACGGACAATTTAGCCTACCCAATTCACCTGTACCACATGTCTTTGGACTGTGGGGGAAACCGGAGCACCCGGAGGAAACCCACGCGAAGGCAGGGGGAACATGCAAACTCCTATAGTTTAGTGAATTTATTACAATTTAAAAGAACTGTTTTCTATATAAAAGTGTTGTTTATTCGTGTGATGGTAAACCATTAATGCTCATTTGCATATTTGAATTACTATTATAAATGACCAATTATTATTAAGAGTTGTTATTATTAATATAATCATCTTTGAAAACAGTTTTAGCCACTTTTTTTAAACCTCAATTAATCAATTTTACTAGAATTTTAGATCAACAGAATTTTTAAAAGAAAATTATTTACTTTAGATCCAACATTTGTAACATTAGCAATTTCTTTCCTCTTACTCAAGTCAATTTAATACATTGTTGTTTAAAAATATTAAATATTATTTAATTTACAATTATTGTAAAAAATATAATTATTTTGTAGTTGTACTTCCCAAAAGCAAAACTGAATTTCACAATGCAAATAATAGTAAAGTTTTCTAAATAGTTAGCATGTCATTGCACAAACTAATTATACATTTTTAATTACTTGAATGTATTTGTAATCAGGTAAATGCTGCCTTAGTAAGAACCCTTTCTAAACATTTTTACAAATCATATTTTTAAAATCATATGCTACACATAAATTTAACATTTCTTATTATTATCTAATTTTCTAACTATTTAAACACATCTTTGACTGATGGATGACCTTGGCATCTTGCAGGGATGTGTTGATGCCATCTTGATGCTGATGCATTTGATCGAGGTGAATCCTCCAATCCTGAAACACAGTAACCCGTTACTCAATCTTCAACCAATGAGTCTCTAATTCACCTTTCATGCATCAAGCATCAACCTTATTGTCAGTGCGGATGGTGACTTTAAGCTGTGGAAGAACTCGCTCCACCTCCAGATTCCATTCGGCAGCATCAACATCTGACTCTAAAACCACTGCAGGCCTCGAACCACTGAGCTCCTAAAGACACACACTTCTACTAGTTATAGAGCACTTTACATACAGGGTTCATACACATTTTTACTACTAAAATTCCATGACTTTTATATAAACTGTTTATGACCTAATGTTTCATGTAATGTCTACGCATGCATAGATAATATATAATAAAAAACTGCACTTTCAAATTTATTTTAACACATCATAAAACACGCAACAATCTTACTTACTTACTCCAAGGGGCATTTATATCAAAGATGATATTTAGCCGCACCATATTGGTGTTTCGTAACATCTAGTTTTTATAAGGTAAAACTAGACCCCAAACCCCCAACCTGGAGGACCAGTACACACATACACTATGGACAATTTAGCTTACCCAATTCACCTACAACACGTCTTTGGACCGGAGCACCCGGAGGAAACCGACGCAAACACGGGGAGAACATGCAAACTCCACACAAAAATGCCAACTAACCCAGTCGAGGCTCAAACCAGCGACCTTCTTGCTGTGCAACCATGTCACCCACACGCAACAATCTATTAAGTTTAATTTAAATTTTATATCTATGTAAAGTTTACTTAATGCTTACACATGTTTTGGCCAAAGACAGAAAAAAAGTATACAGTAGACAACTAACCTATAATTAAGTATACAGATATTTGTTAAACTAATTTTCATGACTTATTCAAAACTTTGAGATTTTCTGTTGCTATGTCTAAATTTCATGACTTTTCCAGGTTTTCCATGACCGTATGAATCCTGTATAGATTATAATACGTAGTATACTCATTTTCTTAGCTTGAGTTCATGCTGCTAACTTAGTATAAGGAATATTCCATTCAGGTTTGCATAATGTATTTGTGTAAAATGTATTTTTCAAACAAGACTCACGCCATTGGTTCTGGTCTTCAGTGCATCTAAATCCAGTCCATCTTCTTCCTCATATTCCTCATCCTCCTGCTGAAAATGCACATTTTAATGAGTGTGTCTGTGAGTCACTGTCACTCACTTTACACATGAGTCTGTGTGATTCAATGTCATGTCTTTCTGCATTTCACCTTAGTAGTGATTTATATATATATTAATAAGCATTTATATGATATTTTCTATTTTTGTTGTGGAAACATAATCACAACATAGACATTCTGCCAAATTGTATTCCATTTAACTTTTTATTATTATTTTATTAACATTTAATTAGACCTTAAAGCTCAGCACTTTCATTCCGCTATCATCTTTTAAAAATTTAATTCAGTCAATAGATCAAGATCATTGTGCTTGTTTTTAGATTTTTTTGTTGGTTTTATATGTTATTATCTGCATTTGTGAAATTTTTATTGTATTGTGTTCCTACTACTTTGTACTGCATCTGCTTTTCATGTTGCCTCTTGGCCAGGTCGTCATTGTAAATGAGAACTGGTTCTCAATTGACTTACCTGGTTAAATAAAGGTTATTATATTAACTGTTCTGTTTAAATATCCTTTGATGTAGAAAACACACAAAGCAAGGCATTATGTATACTAGAATAGTATTGATATTAATTATTTTAATTGATCATTTTTGCAATAAATGGCCTTTATTTTTCTGAGCAAAAATGAAAATCACATATTGGAACCACAAATTACAACAGACACCACTAAAATGTTTTAGTGACTTTTTATATACCAAAAAAATGTTGTCAGGTACATTTAGAACAAGACTCATTTAATGACATAATACAATGCTCTACTTAAGGAATAAATCGCTGCTTCAAAATACAAATTAATTGTCATTTTAAGCTTTTATACTTTGCCAGTGTCATTTAAACCACTGGATTTTATCCATTTGTCAATAAGAACATTGTAATAAAACTACAATAAAATTGTGTGTGATTACTTAGTCTTTTATATATTTTAATAAGTAGAGATCTGTTACACTGACTACGTTTACATGGACATAAGTAATCAAATGAATTGCTTTAATCCGAGTAAGACAAAAACATGATTAAGATGTTTACGTGAGTTGCTTTTTACATGTTTCTTTAATGATCCTGTTTTACATGTTACAGCACATAATTTGATTAGCGTCATTATGATATCCACGTTTCCTCCAGAGTTTCATGTGATTTTGGGTGTTTTGTTTATAATGTGTTGACTTTAACTGCAGTTTGGCACTTTCACTTTCATTCGGGAACATTTCATGCATGTTCACTTTGTTTACTACCGAGAGGGCATGTCCGCCAATGATGCCTACTTTAGTGTACAGAACCTGCATGTGAATAACATTTAATAAACTTGTAAATAACGTTCAGTTTGTTGCTCAGAGCGATTGTTTGGGAGCTGCACAGGAAATATGATTTGCATGTGTGTGTTTTTTTCACAGTGGCAGCGGCCATGAGCCGCACTCATAAGTGAAATTGAAACCGGCGCACACATCATTTAAATGATCACATTGTGTTTTAAAGTTATGATTACAACAAGTATTTCATGTTTTTTCTTTCATAGCGAACACAAAGAGTTGTGCATGCAAATAAATGTTTACTGGGTCTCTGATAATTACAAATGTTTCATTAAAAATGGTCTAATGTTGTCAATGATAAATGACAAGCATATGTCTCAAACACAATAATTCAACTTTAGAATCATGAATATGATGTGATCATTTTACTGTGAATGAACAAACAGGGCAAATTTAAATACTGTTCAAGTCCATCATTCCAAATCTATACAAAATTTAGCATTTTAACCAACAGTAGACCTACACATAGACCTAATATTATTATTATTCCATATGTTTGAGAATTAGCAAGAATAATAGCCCACTCATATAAACCTTTATTTTACATCTACAGAATCATGAGAAAATCTGAAAAAAGATCTTGATTTTAAGCAAAACAAATAGTGATTCTCATTTTAGCCTGAATCGTGCAGCCCTAGTGTATGGAGTATCCTGTTGCAAAATGTGGCAAAAATCCTATACGATGGTAATAGTTTGATTGTGGTGTTTACATGTCTGTGCTGCACTTCAATAACGCGACTTAAATCAGCATACTCCACACGTCTTAATTTGATTTCTGTTTAATTCGATTATGACCTTTATCAGATTAAAGTAATCAAAAATCGCTGTTTGCATGGTAGACTCTTAATTAGAGTATTGTCTTAATTATATTAAAATCGGATTACTGGTGTCAATGTAAACGTACTCGCTGAATGGTGATGGAAAATTCTTTCACATACATTTTGACCTTTTAATTGTTATTGATCACAAATGGTAACTACTAATATAATTACACAAATCCTGATCTAAGTTACTCAGTCCAAGTTACAATAAAACCACTTCTCTAACAGTAAATCTTGACAGACATCAAATATACCTCAGGCTGATTTTTTTTAATCAAGAGTGACTTACTGTCATCTCCTCTTCCACTTTACTGAGTGTGAGTTCTGCATCATCTTCCTGCACACACTCATCCTCCACCTCCACTGATGGGTACAGCGGCCTGACAGACAGAGAATACAAGTTTTAGATGTGTTTGTATACAGTAAGAACAGACAGTTAGACACATCTGTGGTTCTAAAAGATTTCTGTGCCCCTAAACCACCATAGAAAATGATCTCAACCTGTTGTAAGCTCACATGTGTGGTTTACACTTTGTCACTTCATGCAATTTTTTTATTTTTTATTATTATGAGGATGTTTCAAACACAAAGCCTCCAGGAGCCTACATATAAAAGCATTTGTGTCCAGAATCAAAAATATAGATTAGATTTGTGTAAAAACGAATACTATTTAAATAAAATAAAATGTATCAGATGCTTTAGTCAACATAAACTAGTTAAATTTGTATATAGAGCAGATTTGAAGATATCCAAGGAATCATATTAATTTAGCGAAGATGCATTCATGTGGTCAAATGTACATGGCACTATTTGAACAAATCAGATAGCTATGCAGTCAGCAAAAACGCATGAAGTGACCAAGTGTAAACAAGCCCATAGTCAGGGGCGGATTTAACCAATAAGCAAGGTAAGTGGCCACTTAGGGCCCCAATATATATCTAGAAGTATAAATTATACTTATAAACTATATATAAAACATAATTTCTATCATATTTTGTATAGTGAGATATTTTGTACATAATTAAATATTATTTAATATACAGTAAAATCTTATATTATTTTAATAATGTAATGTTTTGTAATATTAATATTATGAAACAAAATATCCAGCTCCCCTATCATGGAGCAGTCCAGCAGTAAATCTATGATTATATATATATATATATATATATATATATATATATATATATATATATATATATATATATATATATATATATATATATATATATATATATATATATTTGTTATCGTAAAATCTTTGTATTATGTAAAGATTGCATTAAGATAAACCATAAAAAAAGAAGATTGAGTTACAGAAAATAAATACATTTAAATAAAAAAAAGTAGAAAAGGTGCATCAGGACTTGGGCCCCATGGCTGAAGTTGCCTAGGGTCCCCGATTCGCTAAACCCGCCCCTGCCCATAGTGTGTGCTGTTAAATATATGTGTACCTGTTCCAGGCAAAACCTTTACTCTTTAGTGCCTTTTCTACCAGCTGGTCTAGAACATAACAGACATGCTCTCCAGACCCAGTCTTCAGCTTAGATGGGGGGAAATCAACCTGGCCTCCCTACAAATCACATACAGATGATAATCATAAACCTAAATGCATACACCCATACACATTTGAGAGGGTGTAATCAGTGTTATCGCCTCACCAGGGTTCGAAGTTCAGACAGGATGTTGGAGACTGTGGCGTTGGGGTCGTCATACTCCTGTGGTGTGTCGAACGGTCGCCCGCATAATGTAATCAACCAGGCAGCAATTACACTGAACATATAGAACTGCTCACCAGGATTTGACAACACATGAGGGCTGGAGACAAAATAATGTCTGAAAAATACAGAGTATTAAGGCAATAGTTGAAATGAAAAATCAGTCATTATTTCCAGTGCTCAGCATATATAAGTACACCCCTCACAAATCTATCTTTTAAATTTACATTTTTAATAGGAAGCTATACAGTATTATATTTGTGCATATACATTAGATTAGTCAGTACTGAAGCCAAATCTGGAACTTATGTAACTAAATAAACCTAGTAGTACCAAATTTATATGTTATAGTAAAATATTAAATACAATTTTCAAAAAGCAAAAAAAAAAAAAGAAAGAAAATTTTAGTTGAAATTTTGTAATATTTTGCTTGAATTTAATTGTATTATCTTTCAGTTTCTAAATATGTTTGGTGAGCAAAATATTATTTATATAAATATATCCGTTTAATAAATCTGCTTTGTTTAAATGCACCAAAACACATTGCCTGTATTCTCTGGAGATATATACATTTTCAAAATGTGGTGTACTCTCTGAGCACTGTACTCACTCTGATGTTCTAGGTTTGTTTACTTTTTCTGATGTCTACGTTATAACACACAGTCTCTTTGATATCAACTTTTTCAAACATCGTTCAAAATATATTATCCTGACATGTTAGAGACCTTAGTTCCTCTTCAGAATACAACATAAGATATTTTAGATTAAATCTGAGAGCTCTCTCATCTTCCATAGACAGCAATGGTTCTGAGTCATCCAGAAAAATAACAAAAAACATCCTTAAAACAGAAATACGCCTCCAGTGGTTCAATCAGAATTTTATCAATCTGCGAGAGATGCTTTTGTGTGTACACCAAGTTCTTATTCTACTATTAAACTTATATTAATTTAAAGGTCTTAAACGTGTGAACACAAAAGAAGATATTATAAAAAATGTTGGAAAGCAACAGCCACTGACTGATAATATTTTTGTCAATATAGTTTCCATCATTCTTCAGAATATCTTTTTTTGTCTGTGTGGAAAAACTCAAACAGGTTTGGAACAAGTGGAGGATAACTAAATGTTGACAGAATTTTCATTTTATGATAATATATGATAAGTGGATTTTACTATACGGCTAAAAAGTAACTCAATCTACTTTGCAACGTTCATTTTCTTACAAGTTCCATATTATGAAAGTGAATGGGGACCAGAAACTAACTTTACTCGTTTACCAATGTTGTCCAAAATATATATTTTATATGTCCAACCGAAGAAAAAAAAACTCATCCAGGTTTGTAAAACCCGATACAATTCATGATGAGAGATTTCACTTTAACTGTAATGCTATTCACATCAAATACTTTCTAATCCACATTCCGAGTCTCTCTTACCTGGACAGAGGTTTGATGTTGTGTTTGTCCAGAACGTGCTGCTCATAATCGAGAACCTTCAGTTTATCCAGCAGATCCTCCATCAACACGAACATCTGATAGACAGAGCCCGGACCGCGCTCTTCCTCCTCCGCCATCCCTCTCTCTTTCTCTTTTCACATTTAACACTCTTTACTCGCAAAGGGAAATTAGTTTAAAGCTTTTATTAACACTGCAGGTACGAATACAGACAGAGATATACACGGCTATTCTGCAGCAGCGGATTCGAGATGTTGTAGTTACTGTCGTCAGGAATGACGTCACACACAGCGACGGCCATGACAGCAAACAAAGTAAAAGTATCTACTGAATAGTCACAGATAATAAAAAGAAAGCTATAAATAATCAATAATCAATGACTATGCATAATTATTGAATAGAAAAAAGCAGCGAGCCGAAATCTGATTTTGGCTAAGAGTTTTATAATGTTACCGTGTGTAGTCTGACAGTGCTGCCACACGCTGGAGCGGAGAAGAAACGACTCCATATCTAACTTTCTCCAATCGAAAAGGTTGGTTGCTTTTCTTGCTGGTTCTTTGAAACTGACTCTTTATTACTAAGATAATTAATAATAAATGCGTGTGTGTTAACAATAAGAATGGAAAACAAATAATCATTATCATCACCACACTTTCAAAGTTCAAACCATGGTTGATTTCTAGTTGCCAGTACTGTTATGTTTAGTCACAGTAAATTACCTCTGTTTATTGTTTTATGTATAGTAAAACCATTGTAAGGGCATAAAATACGTTATTTTACAAAAACCAGAGAGTAATTATTTTGGTTTTTACAAGTTTAAACGGCGATTTTTAAGTATTTTGGTTTTCAACACAACTCAATGTCTGACACATGAAAGTCATTTATAGTCAATGTTATGGTTTAAGGTTATCTGTGCTGATCTAATTATGTTTATTTTTTTTTCTTTATGCTTTAAATGTGGTTACTTATTATTATATGAAAAATCTTCAGTCTTTTGAGTCTTTTAAGTCGGTTGTGCTCACTAGACAATGAATGATAACTGCTTTGAAAAAGTCAAGGCAGAATTTTCTGCAATACTGTTCCTATGGTATATGGAGGATTGTTTTATTCAATTTTTATTATTATTATTTTTATTTAAGACAACAGTATCTTTAGCAGAATAGATATCCAAAGATGCTGTTCGAAATAAATCGTAAATAAATCAGTGTTTTTGAAACTAATGAAGACAAGAGAAGTCCATTCATTTCATTTATTTATTCATTTATTTAGCCTGACATGTTTACAGTCCCACAATATTTTAAATTGTTCTCAAAATAAAAAATATATTGTATTGAAAGGGGGAAAAGTTTTTTTTTTTTTTTACTAAGACATTTAAAAAGAATATATTTTAGAGCAGTAATCACAATATTTTTATCCAAGGTTATCATATCAACATAATCTTATACCGGCCCATGCCTAGTGCTCACCAAAGTTGTTTTATTTACAGCAAATAAGTAATATTGAAATATTACAATTCATAATACTTTTTCAGGATTCTTTGATGGACTTGAATTTACAAAAGTACTGCATTTACTATAAGGATATTTTATGTCACAATAATAAACCCTTTATTGTCACTTTTTGATTAATGCTCTTGCTCAGTATTAAGATAAAACCTAAAAAACCTTTTGAACATTGTTTTATAATTTTACACATTTTCTCCCATATTTATTTTCTGAATGAGAAAAGCTGTTTGAACGATGAATTGTATTTAACACATTATTGTATTCTGTTGTCCCTAGATAAACTGTGCAGCAGTGTGTTCCTCGTGTTAGGTTTCTATGTGTTGGGCAGAGCCGCTCAGCTGTTGAGATTAATTCCAAGAGATCTTTTTTTGGCTGATGGGTCAATCTTTCTTTCACTCTGCCCGTCTCTGTCTCTATGATGTTGGTGCGAGCATGAACACAAATATTTGGAGATTGAAATGAGCTCAGTCCCTAGCATAACTACAAGCGTTTTGGACAGATTCATCTACCCTTTACCTGGTAATCGAGACACAAATGGAAAATAAAATAGCACACAAGACTGGACATATTGAGTTTTTTTTAATACATTTCACATGTGGCTTTATGGTAACAGAAATTACACAAACACATCTAGTGCTTGCACATACTCATACACTCTCACATTTTATGAAAAAAAATCTTGTCTTGCTTCCACTTACTTATGACCAATTTTCTCTGCATCTTCCATCATATCTCCACAGTTTTTGTGGTGAACGGCTCTTTTCAGTCCTCATGGATACGAGTTGCTCCCTCCTCTGATACTGGACCCTCCCTTTTGTTTTCGGTAACCACCTCTGTGTAGGTCACATCTGGGCTGGACTTCCTGCCTTTGGGTGGAGTCACAGCAGGCTCCGCCTCCGCACCCTCCTGGCCCTCAGCGACCGTGCGCTCCTTCTTCAGCTTGATTTTGAAGGATTCCTTGGTGGGCGCTTTCTTAGCGATGTTTTCCTTCAGCCTCTCGCTGCTCTGCTTTATCTTCTCTCGCTGCTCGGGTGGCACGATCTTCTCACCCAAAGTGTTGAATTTGGTTCCAAGCGTCTGGCCTGTCTTACTCAGGCTCTCCTTGGTCTTGCTGAGGTTTTCTCGGGTCTTCTCGCGGGTCTTGTTCATGTTCTCTTTGGAGAACGCAGCCTTGATGTTCTCGATGCCTTTTAACCCGGACTGTTTGAGACGGGCGCCCCGGGACGACTCCGCATCCTCCACCACCATGTACTCTTCATCAGATGACAGGTCAGCAGGGATGTCATACTCATCTGGCTCCACCTCCAACTCAGCAAGCCCTGCTCCCTTGGGAGTCTTGGTGACAGCAACAGAGGGGACTTCTTTTTCACCCTATGGGGGCACACAGAAACAAGAAACCATTATTTAAAACATCATGAAATCCTGGACTAAATTTTCTAAGACTTTTTTTCTATTAACTTTAATTAAGACCATGTTAGAGGGTGGTGCGGTGGCAGAGTGGGTAGCAATGTTGCATCACAGCAAGAAGGTCACTGGGTCAAGCCTCGCCTGGGTCAGTTGGTATTTCTGTGTATGTTCTCCGCGTGTTCGCGTGGGTCTTCTCTGGCTGCTCCAGCCCCTATAGGCGAATTGGGTAGGCTATATTGTTCATTTTGTATGTGTGTGAATGAGTGTATGGGTGTTTCCCAGTGATGGGTTGCAGCTGGAAGGGCTTCCGCTGTGTAAAACATATGCTGGATGAGTTGGCGGTTCATTCCGCTGTGGCGACCCCAGATTAATAAAGAGACTAAGCCGAAAAGAAAATGAATGTATGAATGAATGAAGACAATGTTAGCATCTGTTTGTTCTAATTGTAGAGAATAACTGGCTAATTTAAGCTTTTCTCCGCTATATCTTCCTTGTTAAAAATCTATATGTCATGGTGTCACTTGTAGTGATGTAGCACAAGAATGTGAGTGCTATGATGATGTGTTGGGGTCTAACTATTATTCATGATCTAAGATTCCTTATCCTGTGGGAAGAGCTGCATCTGAAGTATTTGTTCAAACTGTGAGACTGCACAGTAGTTAGGCTTTCATGATGGGTTGCTATGCCGATAGTCATACCTGCCAACATTTGTCTCTGAAATTCCAGGAGAACGGGGTGGAAGAGAGTGAGTGGCTGTGGGGTGGGATGTGATGTGGTGTGTATTGTCTGATTAACACAGTTGAGAACCTGGTTAGTAACTGTACTGTGGAACAGATTTCGGGCAGCCACTGCGATCGGACACTATACCAAAGTTGGCGACCCAGGGGTGTTACAGACTGTACCAAAAAGCTCAGGCGGGGTGAAATTACGAGAGTTTTCTGGGTGAAATAACAAAATGGGAGGGTGGCGGGAGACGGGTCTGAAATATGGGAGACTCCCGGGAAAAACAGGACTGTTGGCAGGTATGCTGATAGTGTTGTCAGAAGTACCCACTTCTATGAGTTTATACTGAAACGTATACAAATGTGACAAAAGCAGCATTTCCCGCTTGCATTTGGAGTGCAGATGAGTGGAATGTGATTGACCATTGTGTTCTCATGCTCAACAGATACGACTGGGATTAGCTCAAATTATCACTGGTTTACAACAGCTCTGTAGCCACACTGTGTTTGAAAACTGTGTCTATCAGCTGATCGTCATCTAATTTATATGGCATTCAAATGCTGACAGACACTAATTTCAAATCCTTCAGTGCCCGAAGACATTTCTGTCCCTTCAAAGCAGGTATATGTTTCTAAATTTTAAAGTAAGCAGTGTTTAAATATAAAAGTCTAATATTTCCCCACGTGTTACATTTTAGTCAGAGTCAGAATAGGCCACTCTCCTGTTTCTCTGCTACATCACGCCCACTCCCCTATCTTCTGCTCACATCCGACCAGGCCCATTCAAGTTTAATTTTTCAAAAAAAGTCTGAGGTAGACTTAACCTGAAAGAGAGGAATGTCATGAGCCTTTAAGGCAGGGGTCACCAATCTAGGTCCTGGAGGGCCAGGGTCCCTGCAGGGTTTAGCTCCAACTTGCCTTAGCACACCTCCCTGGATGTTTCAAGTATACCTAGTAAGACCTTGATTAGCTTGTTCAGGTGTGTTTGATTAGGGTTGGAGCTAAAATCTGCAGGACACCGGCCCTCCAGGAACAAGTTTGTTGGCTTTAAGGGATAGGTTAATGGTCAAATGTAAACGGTACAAAGGTAGAGTTGAGGTCCTTACTCTCTGGGGTCATTAGCCAAATTTGCCCACTGGCCTCTGTCGATCGTGGAATCCTAAAAATCCCCATATCATTATTAGCTTCATTGCTTTGTCTTCTCTCCCCCTATCAGCTGGTGTGTGGTGTGCGCTCTGGCGCAATATGGCTGCAATCACGTCACCCATGTGGATGCTGCACACTGGTGGTGAATGAGGAGATTCCCCCCAAAAATGTTTAAAGTGCTTTGAGTGTCCAGGAAAGTGCTAAATGTAAGGAATTATTATTATTATTATTATCTAAACGATGGAGGGTTTTTTTTTTCTTTATTAAAACGTTAAAGATTTTTAGCTCAAACCGAGTTCCTTGGTTTGATTTATAATTACCCTGCTAATGGCTACAGGTACTACAGTCAGAAAAACATAATCAGGCAATCAGAATAAAGAAATTGTTTACCCAAAGTTTTAAATTATATCTTAATTCCCTCATCCTTAATCTAATCTAAGTGTTCATGCCTTTTCAAATGCAAAAACAAAGAAAAAATATAACTTTTTTGAGCTTAAAAAAATCAATTTAACCAATTCATAATTACAAAACTGTGATACCAGGATATTATTCAACAACTCTGCCTGTGTTCATCTAAATGAAGAAAGGCATTCACACATATGATGGCTTGCAGGTGAGTATAACTATAGTTAAAATGTTCTTTTAATACCTGTTGATCCTGGTGCTACATTGAGATGTGATTAAATGAAACAAATGGTTTTCCCTTTTTGTTATGCCTGTACATGTTTTTTTTTTTTTTTATGTATTTCACGTCTGGAAGTTTGTGGACCTCAGTTCAGTCCTAAACTAAATATGATTCTTTATTTCTCAAGAGCCGAAGAGTGAATTTGATCTATCATTATTTGCACATTTACAGTTCTAGCCATTAAACATAATGTTAACATGAAACACACTGTAGTTTGTCTCTTTACACATCAGTCAGGCAATTTCTTCCAGTTGCAGTGCCTGCTTCTTAGGGTTTACAAGCAAAGTGGGCTTGGATTTTATGCCAGGTTATGTGAGACTACCCTTCCCAAGAGGGCAATTTTGAAGTCTTTAAGAATGGATGTCAATGCACACTTATGAATAAACTCCCTATTCAGGGAATAACCTTAACGAGTCTCTACAGCTGTGTGAGCGGCTCTATATTAGGGCAGCTCAGAATAACCACACACAAACCCACACTCTCCCACTAACACACACTCCTAATTTAGACTAATTCATTGTCACACATATCCTTTAATTATTTATTTTTCATAATCAAATGTTGCACGACACTGTGAGATGTCAAATAGATACATTTACCAGTGTTTATGCAGTTCAGTTATCAAAATAATCAACCACAAGCCTAATTTATGTCACTCCAAAATCAACTTTTGAAGACTGGAGATAGCAGATGTTAGTTTAAACAACACAATCTCACAGCAATTCATAAATTCATTCAATTCTTTTTGATTTAGTGGCTAATTCATATAAATTTGTACAATCTCATTCGTACAATTTAGCACGATTTGCTCATCACCCAATGACGACTGGGTTAAGGGGTGGGGTTGGTGTGGTGTGCTCCTTTAAAAATCACACATTTATATAAGACTCAACTCGTACAAATTGATACGAATTAGCAATTAAACTGACAAAATGTACAATAGTTAAGTTTCCTCATGAGATTAGGCTAGTTTAAAAAGCAAATTTGGGTTTAAGAGATTTCTGTCAAATTTAATAAATGAAAAGGCATGGACACTGTGATCTTCACAGATATCTTCATTTGTGCATTTGAGTTTCCCTATCAAACAAAAACTTTACAGGTGGAGAGTATTGAAGTGAACCACACAACATCATTTACTCAGTTTAGTAGTATTTGTGCCATCAATTAACACCCAAATAAACATTGCAGAACTCATTTTGCACTTGACTTGGTGTGATGGTTTCTGTAGGAGGAGATACTGCCACAAACAACAGAGGTATATGTAGAAGAGAGAAGACATAAATGTTTATGAGAGGATGTCTATGTTTTTGACATCTAATAGACATTCAAACATAAACTGTGTAAATAAAACATCACAAAATTTGGGCTATTTATGAAAATATTATATATATATATATATATATATATATATATATATATATATATATATATATATATATATATATATATATATATATATATATATATAAAACAATAGTAGTCATCAAGATAGATTACAAAGACTTAACACTATTTATTCCTGTCTCTTTGATGAATAGTAGATTTTTGGGTCATACTTTTATTTTGACGGTCCGTTTGTTGAATTTAATTTACATAGCATCTACATGCCAACTAATTCTCATTAGATTATAAGTAGACTGTTAAGGTTGGGGTTAGGGTTAATGTAAGTGTACTTGCTAAGTTTCTTATAGTCTCTAAAAGTCTGTTGAAGGAGCAGTATCAACAGATATTAAGCAGACAGTCTACTAATACTCAAATGGGCCATCAAAATAAAGTGTTAGCGATTATTGTACTATTGTTATTGACGTCTCTTACTCACAGACCAAATTAAGCCCAAATTAGATACTATATTGTCTTAATTTTTGTTCATTTGTTTGGAATGGCAACAGATGTTATACTAAAATATGAATTATCATCAGTACGGTTCATCTACAACCCTTTGCTGATTTTAGAAAATTGCATTGGTCATTATGGAAATGAGCGTCTGCAAAAGTGTTTTTTTTTATTTGCTGTTCCTTCTGCAGTTTTAATGGGATTGCGGTCTCACACTAATTAGTTTGTTTAGCAAGTCTAGCTGTAAGAATCTTTAGACATTCCCCAGAACACTGTCTAGGATGATTAAGGCCAAATCTCCTTCCCTGTTTCTCTCTTTCTGGAAGTCTCTTAAATAGGCATTAGGGTTGTCACGATACTATAAATTTAGGCCATGATCAGTATCAGGACACCAAGTAGTATCGCGATACTTTAGTAATTCATAATTCAAATCTACAAAATAAAGCAAATTGTCACAAATACTACATTTTGTATATTATGATACTTAAATTTCATTAATAATTCCCTCATTATTGAAAACCTATTATTTGTACAGCCATTCTGTTTTATTTGTATATACTGGGACTGTTTTGTTGTTAATGCAATAATATTAATTAAATAAATAAATATATAAATTATTGACCACGCCATATGATGTCATGTCTGCTTGTGTAATTTGTTTTTTCGTTTATTTTGTATGTAACTGACCAACAAAAATACATTAAAATTAAGATACAAATTATACCAAACAAAATTCAATACAAGAGATTTTTTCAACTAATATGAGTTGAAAATATATTGTTTTCCTAGTATTTCCCGTTGCTATTTTCAGTTTTTCTCATCTATTGTATTTTTTTTCAGTCTTATCAGATAAGAATCCAAAGTAATTACAAATTTTCACCAATTCTACACAGTTTTGCAGCCTTTAATGCAGACTGTTAAAATTTGACTAAAATAAAGTATTCTATTGATTACTTGCTGGCACAAATGAGTGAGCAGTTTAGTGACTTTTCCACATGCAACATTAACTATCGTAGAACCGTTAATGACGATACCACCATTTACAAACAATAGTGTCACCGCTATTATTTTGGTGCCATAGTATTGCGGTGCTACCGGTAAACCGTGTAACCCAATAGGCATATCAAAAATATCTGTATGACACTCATCCGTCACACTAAAAGAAACAGGCAACCCATTCACCTCTAGAATGGTGAATTCTCAAGTGCGCCCCCTGTTGATATGTGTGACAGAACCAGCTTTCAAAACGGCACACCCTCATTCACCAATAACCCACATGTGGATGTGATTTTACCTGATAGATCACAACCCTAAACTTGTTGCGTGTGAGGAGCTCATCTTGCGTAGTTTCCACTTTCTTCACGCGCACGTTCTGTTTCTCCACACGTGAACGTACTTCTTTAACGTGTGTGCTCACACGCCGGGCCTTCTGCAGCAGTTTGTCGACGGTCGTCGCTGTGGCCCCGTGGTCACGAGCCAGTTTGAGAAGCTCGGACTGGACAGCGCTGACCGAGCCCTCGAGCTGCTGTTGGCGTTCCTCCATACGCTGTTGGCTTGCCTGGACGCCATCGATGATTGTTGACACACGCTCCAGCAGAGACAGAATGGACAGGGCAGAGACGGGCTGCCCGGATTCATCCTCAACCCCTAATATGACATCTCCTCTCTTTTCCATCTCCAATTCTCCCTGAAAGTGCAGCCAGAGATGGGTAAAGGGACTCAAACGCACAGTATCAAGAGAAACTGACACTCCTAAAGAGAGACCCCACTGGAATCTGACGAACTCCACCCCTGTTCACACACACACATAGATATAAATGCATGGATATAAATACAACTGTAAGATGATCCTGAGACATTTCTGAAAGCTGTATCACAGAAGTGTTGGAAAGCCCCTTTAATTCATACGCTGCTGCATGGTGTGCATGTGTTCGAGTGGCTTGTGCATATGCATACTGTGTGTCTCTGAAATATCTAAAATCACCGTGGCATTAATGAAGAGCACAAATGTGTGTGTTTGTGTGGTGAGGTGGACTTACTTTTATAAATCTAGCCCCCTGCAGCATACTGTCAACTCAACTGAAGCCAACAGCTGCGGACACACACATAGTCACACACACACACACACACACACACACACACACACACACACACACACACACACACACACACACACACACACACACACACACACACACACAGTGTAAACTGACCTTGAAGGTGTTTCACATCAGCGTTTTGACCTCTGACCTCACTTTCGGGCAACCTGACATGTGAAAACTGCATCTCCCAACATGCACTTGGAACTGCTGAAAAAAATACACTGGTACATATTGAGTTCAATGCCACAGAGGAAAGAAACACACTAGAAACAATACATTTTTCATTAAAACTCACTTTATAAACAGATTTGACATGCAACATTATGCAGCACTTCTCATAACATCAAGTTTACAAACTGATTTAAGACTGACACAGATACACATACCATGACTTACTTTACAGGAATTTCAACTGTATGAGGTTTGGGTTGTGAATTGTGTTATAAACTTCTTTTGGCTCTGTTTCAGAAGCTAAAAGATTTCACAGTTTTCCCCAGTTTTATTTGATTGATTTTTCTATGTGAGACAAAGTGACGCATTACTGTAGCTAGGGATGTCCAGATCCAATCATGTGATCAAAAATCGGGCCCCATCATGCGGTTTCATACTCGATCGTAATCGGACATTACCTCCTGATTAGGACTCAATACAGTGCATCCGGAAAGCATTCCAAAGTATTTCCAAATTGTTACAAAATGTTCCAGCCTTATTCCAAAATGGATTAAATTCATTCATTTTCTCAAAAATCTACACACAATACCCCATAATGACAAAGTGAAAAAAAAAAAGATTTTTTGAAATTGTTGCAAATTTATTAAGAATAAAAAAGCTGAAAAATTCACATGTACATCAGTATTTACCTTTGCCGTGAAGCTCTAAATTGAGCTCAGCTACATTCTGTTTCCACTGATCATTCTTAAGATGTTTCAGCAGCTTAATTGGAGTTTACTTGTGGTAAATTCAGTTGATTGCATGATTTAAAAAGGTCCAAGGGTTGACGGTGCATGTCAAAGCACAAACCAAGCATGAAGACAAAGGAATTGTCTGTAGACCTCCAAGACAGGATTGTTTTGAGGCACAAGGGTGGGGAAGGTTATAGAAACATTTCTGCTGCTCTGAAAGTTCCAATAAACACAGTGGCCTCCATCATCCATACGTGTAAGATGTTTGAAACCGGCAGGACTCTTCTTAGAGCTGGCCGGCCATCTAAGCTGACTCATCGGAGGAGTAGGGCCTTAGTAAGGACAGTGATTACTAACCCGATGGTTACTCTGAACTCCAGCGTTCTTCTGTGGAGAGAGGAGAACCTTACAGAAGGACAACCATCTGTACAGCAATCCACTAGTCAGGCCTGTATGGTAGAGTGGCCAGGCGCAAGCCACTCCCCGCCTGGAATTTGCCAGAAGGCATCTGAAGGACTCTCAGACCATAAGAAACAAAATTCTCTGGTCTGATGAGACTAAAATGTAACTCTTTGGAGTGAATGCCAGGCGTTACGTTTGGAGAAAACCAGGCGTCGTTTATCACCAGGCTAATACCATCCCTACAGTGAAGCATGGTGGTGGCAGCATTATGCTGTGGGGATGTTTTATCAGCAGCAGGAACTGGAAGACTAGTCAGGATAGAGGGAAAGATGAATGCAGCAATGTACAGAGACATCCTGAATGAAAACTTGCTTCAGAGTGCTCTTGACCTCAGACTGGGGCGACGGTTCATCTTCCAGCAGGACAATGACCCAAAGTACACCGCCAACATATCAGTGTAGTGGTTTTACAACAACTCTGTGAATGTCCTTGAGTGGCCCAGCCCGAGCCCAGATGTAAATCCTATTGAACATCTCTGGAGAGATCTGAAAATGGCTGTACACCGTCTCTTCCCATTCAACCTGATAGAGATTGAGAGGTACTGCAAAGAGGAATGGGCAAAAATTCCCAAAGACAGGTGAGCCAAGCTTGTGGTATCATATTCAAAAAGACTTGAGGCTGTAATTGCTGCCAAAGGTGCATCAACTAAGTATTGAGCAAAGGCTGTAAATATTTATGTACATGTGATTTTACAGGTTTATATATATATATATATAACAGTTAGTTGTGCGTTAGACCTCTTTCTTGACTTCACACAGAAACAGCAATGTGTGGGGCATGACATCACTTTGTTACAGAGACACTGGGAAAAGTGGAACATGGAAGCAGCTTGAAGCGGAAAGCGCGAGTATGTCTGCGGTTTGGAGGTATTATAAAGTTGATGATGACAGCATTGCCGTAGCAAACTGTGAGATATGTAAACTTCTTTATTATTTTTTTTAATGTATCATAGAAACATCGTATCGCGTTTCGGTATCGGTAGATACTCAAAATCAAATGACTCTGACTCAAGGGCAAAAAAAACCCTGATCGGGACATCCCTAACTGTAGCTGCTGTATAAAAACAATTGGAATGATAAAATGTGCAGTTTGCACTACAAAGTAATGTGTTTATGGTGATAATTGTGATGGCAGCATAATGGATTGTTTTTGTACAGTTAAAATAAATTTAACCTTCTGACGGCAGAAGCCTTACACAGTCAGGTAAAAATTAGGTAAAATGGCCATAATTCCATATTATTTTTAAAATAAGATGGATATAAGTTAAAGCAGATATATAACAACATTCTGGCAGGAATAGGCTTTACAAACACTCTCTGACCTTTCACCCCTAGGGTTCACAATTGTAAGTGTGTTACACAGTGTTACTTAATGTCATTTTCGCGCTGTAATGACTTGTACGGGAACACAACCATAACAAACTTTGGACAGTAAAAACAACTATAGTAGAGTTTATGTTGGCTTGGGAAGCCTGATTTTTTGGAAATAGCTTTAGAAGCTACAAGTTTGAGTGAAGAAAAAAATGTTTCTTGCATGTGGTAAAGCATTGCATGAATTAACACATCGTTAGCATGTTTACAAAATTAAAGCAGAATGCTAGCCTCGATTAGCATGTTCTTAGTGTTTTTCTAAATGCTAAAAACATGTGCCGCCATGAATTGGAATGTTTAATACACAGCTATAGGATTGTAGGAAGTTTTAACATATTGCTAACGTGATTTAGTGGTGTTGGAGAGCCTTACCTGAATGTTGGAATGAGTTTTGAGAAATAAAGTATAAAAGAATAGGCATCTTTTGCTAGCATGATTAAATATGTTAAGCATCCCTTACATAATTTTAACATATTGTTAGCATGAATTAGCATGTTGCTAGCATGTTTCTAGAATATTAGCTAGCTTTTGAACTTGGCATATGTTGATTTAACATTTTGAGATGTTTAAAAGTTATATATATCCTCATTGAAACTGTTAGTTTTGATTGTCTGTTTTTATGAAAACCACAAGTCTGATCAGTTAGAATAGATAAAACCTCCTAAACATCTGACCTGAGTTTATCATAGATTGAAAACTAGAAATTCAGTTCCAGATGAAGAAAATAGTAAATAGTACTGTAGATCAGTACACTGACTCTTGGACTTCTTATTTCTTTGCTTTTAAGATCATTTAATTTCATTTGATGCATGTTATAGCTAGGTGTCAAGATATTATGACTATGTGGCTGTTGCAAAGGTTTTCTGGACATATTTGCCGGTGTCTCTATGTTGTGAAGGAGATCTGGATCGTTTCTTAATGGCCAAAGTGAGAAAAACATAAATGTATGTATATAAACACCCTAGCATCTTGCCAGCATGTTTTACATACCAGACATCACTCATATATATATTTTTTTCAGAAGATACTGTTCTACTTAATGTAAACATTTGACCATGTGGATTTACTGCATTCAGACTAATTAAAAAATGAGGAGAAAAGATGAACAAAAGCAAAAAGAAAAAGGAAAAATAATAAATTAAAAAGCAATAAATAGGGTGGAATAAGGCCACTGAAATACTATAATATTGACATATAAAACTCTCTAAAGAACTTTTTAAAATTTCAATTCAATTCACCCTTATTTCTATAGCGCTTTTACAATGTATATTGCATCAAAGCAGCTTCCCATAGAATATCATAGTAAAGTGAAACATTGAAATTGAAAAAATAAGCTACTGGGAATGTGTGTATGTGATGTATGTGTGCATGGAGGAATGTGTATGTTTAGTGTATATTTTGTGTGTTTCGGTTTTAGTTATACAATCCTGCGTCCTCCATCTTTGGGAAAGTGTCCCTTATTCTGTTTCTGAAGACGTGCTCGAGGCTTTTTTGGATGAATCCTAAAAGGCAACAGTTTATAGATTTGGTGAGTGCGTGATATCTGTGCATGGTTCATTGTTAGCGTTATTTTAGTGCATGCTCATGTGCAGTGTTGGGGGTAACGCATTACAAGTAACACGAGTTACGTAATAATATAAATGTTCTAAGTAATGAGTAAAGTATAAACATTAAAGTATCAATACTTTTTAGTTTAATAAATTACCTTATATAAGATATATAGCTGAATTAAAAGATCGTAGTCACATTAAATCCTGCACGCAATGAGAAAATGCAGGAACAGACAGAAACCAAGATAGCAAAGACTTACATTTCTGTGATGGTAATTATTCTGAACGAATCAAAGAAAGGGAAAAGGGGATTATAGTCTCAATGAACAGTGATTTTACATCACTAATAAGACAAAAAGTACAAAAGTAGTAAACACATTGCTTTACACTTTCATTAACCCTTAAAGACCGAGACAGCCGCCCGCGGCTAAAAATAAGTATTGCTCTTAAATGTTTAATAACTTTTGATCCGCTGATCCGATTCATACAATTTAAAGATTGGCATAAAGAAGAGAATCTCAGCTTTCCAGTGCTGTATCACATATCATTCGCGGACTTTCAGAGGCTCCGGAATCAGTGTGGTTACGTCATCAAAATTTGACAACGCTGATTTGACAAAGAAACGCTCGTCACTGTGTCTCCGGACAAACCAGACATCATACATTGATGCATTGTCCCTCCTCCATGCCCAGATTGGTTCAAACTCGCTACATCACAACCAATAAGCATAGGTTTCGCTTTTGTTTGTGGACCAACAAGCTTTTTGAACAACACGGAATGAGAGATAGGCATACATTTATGCGCGGCTAAATAAAACGCAAAAAAAAATGTTTTGCATGAAATAATTTTCATACTAAGTACTTTTGCATGCACATCTGCACAGAAACATGACAAAACAGTGACACAGCAAAGACGAACTGCTGCTCTTGCTGTTTTCAAAAGACGCAAATGAAGGTGCAGCTGTTTGTCTGCATTGCAGACATCCATATCCATATCCACAGACAACCATATCCATGCTGGCACATAAAACCTAAGGATGGTCCATATTGAATCTAGTTTAGTTATGTAACTATTTATGATATAGTAAATATTTATATCTATTTTTTTTACTGAGGATTTGCACCATGTTTATTTGGACTTTGACACATTATTTATTATTTTCTTATTATTTTTTATTTGTTCATTGTAAGTGGTGTTGTTTATAGTAACTGAAAATATATTATTTGGAAAAAGTCAAATTTGCTACACTGTTCTATTATTTTGTAACATTTTTTTCTGTTTAGTTCATTCCCAGAACTTTTGGGCAAATACATTGTCAGTAAATAAATGCATTTTTTTTCCCCCATAGAAAAACGCCTTGGAATAACATTGAAATAAATTGCTATAACTTGCTCAGGGAATTGTGGATGTAGACAAAATTTATTTTGGAAGTATAAAACATCATAGCATGTATTTCTAAAGAAAGAAAAACAAACTTCATAAGGTTTTGTTTGAAATAACTAGAAAATGCCACTTTTTAAAAAAAATTGTTTCTGGAAAATTCTGGAATATTTTCTGTCTGTTCATATGTTTTTGGACCAAAAAATATTTTAGACTGGACCTTTAAATGATACAGATTGAAACTTCAGGTTCTCCTGTTTAAAATGATATATGACACTTGAGGCTGACTGCTAAAATAAAAATAAAACTGCTTTAAAAAAAAATAATAATATAGGCCCATTAGGTGCCCACAAAATACATCTAGGTCTTTAAGGGTTAATCTGTATAAGGCATATAGATTGAGGGCCAGAAGTGCTTGGAAAATAACATTATCCTCCATTATTATTTTTTGATGTGTTTTTAAGGTAAACAAAGGTTATGGAATGCATTATTAATTACAGAGTTTCTTTAATAAAAAAAATAGAAGAAGAAAAAAATCCTGCAAGTTCTAAAAGAGATCCTCAGCCAGGTCAGAAAAAGTAACTCAAAAGTAACACAAGTTACTAGTTACTTTTTTGTGGAGTAACTCAATATTGTAATGCATTACTTTCAAAAGTAACTTCCCCCAACACTGTGCACGTTCATGTGATAAGTTTTACCTTGTGATGCATATTATGATAGCGATGATGATGCTGATCTGTACAGCGGCAATGATCGCAGCAATCAGGATGTACTGAAGCTTCTGTCCATTGGGCACCACATATAACTCACTGAAGTCTCTTAGCTCACAGTGCTTGCCAGAAAACCCCAAATTACACCTAAATGACAAGACCAAAACGCATCAAACCCATACAACTGAAGTCAGAATTATTAGCCCTTCTGAATTATTAGTCATTAAAGTATCAGCCAAGATTTTTTCAACTCATTTCTAAACATAATAGTTTTAATAACTCATTTCTAAAAACTGATTTATTTTATCTTTGCCATGATGACAGTAAACAATGTTTTATTAGATATTTTCAAGATACTAGTATTCAGCTTAAAGTGACATTTAGAGACTTAACTAGGTTAATTAGGCAAGTCATTGTATAATAATGCTCTGTAGACAATCAAAAACTAAGGGGGCTAAAAATATTGACCTTAAGCGGTTTTTTAAAAACTAAAAGCTGCTTTTATTTTTAATGAAAATATATTATACTATTATACTATATTATACTATATATATACTGAAATAAAACAAATCAGACTTTTTCAAGAAGAAAAAATATTATAGGAAATACTTTAAAAAATGTCTTGCTTTGATAAACATTATTTGGGAAATACTTGAAATTAAAATTCACAGGAGAGCTAATCATTTTGACATCTAATTTACAAGTGTGTATTGTGCGTATGTTTGGTTCTACCTGCATGTTGCCAGATCATTTTTCATCTCACAGGTTCCATGTACACATGAGCTGCTGTTGATTTCAGGACATGGCATCGCTCTGCCAACATTAGCTCCGCCCACTAGAACAGCTGAACCTATAGAATGAATCAAACACAGAATAATGCCGCATTTCCATTTAGCATTGTAAAGATTCGTCTAATGCGGGATTTGTGTTTACCTGAACACTGTCCAAGGTGTCGGACATTAATCTGAGCTTGTTTCAGGCAGGAAGCTTCTCTGACCTGACATGGATTACTGTAAGACTGTCCATCTGATCCACACACTGGGTTCAGATTGTAGCCACCGCAGTCTATATTACACACACACCTTGAAGAGCAGATAAATATTACTGATACGATTGCCTCAAATGGAGATTTGTGAGATGAAAAGCTTATAAACGATTAAGATGTGAGAATTTAAATAAAATAAGGTGATGTAAAATTTATTGAAGTAAAACCGAAAACATTTGCATAATTTCCAGATTCAAATACTTGAAAATGAAGAATTTAAAGATGAATTTTAGCACGGTAGTTTTTTTTTCACTGAGTTTTTTTAAACTGTATATTACAATTTGCAGTAACTAGATAATCAATAATAAGGAATCAATAATTAGATTTTAGGATGTTAATGTATGAAAATGAATAATTAAATAAATGTATTATACCTGTGCAGTGTACAATTATTTTTGAATTTTACAACCAAATACATATAATATTTTTATTAATTATATTTATCTACTACTAAAAGTAAAAGTGGTACTGTGGATGTGTCCTTTATCATTTATTATTAAAATACTAACCTAAACCTTATAATAAATATTTCATGCTATTGCCTGTTCGTCTGTTCGTTCATTTAAGGGTTTGGCTGACAAACATTTTACAAACCCCTGATCTGTCTGTCACGATAACCAGCGATCGTATTCAACGAAGGATTGTCATAGACTGATTGCAGACACTACTTAAGCCACACAATCACCCTTTCACTCTGCTGAGTCTTGTTTATCTGTTGATGACACAACAAAGCATTCTATTTGTCTTGTCCCCGTCGTGTTTACACCCTAGCCTAGATTATCCTTGTTCTCCTGTTTAGCTGCCTGCCTTCTGACCTCTTGCCTGTGTTTGACTACGATTCTGGACTGCCTGTACATACCCGTTTGCACCTGTTTTGACCACTGCTAGCCTGACAACGAATAAACCTGCATATTGGATCTTACCCCAGTTGTTGGTGTTACTCCCCATGGTTACACTGTCACACAGAGTCGTACAATAATAGTAAATCAAAGCAATTAAAGTAAAACTGAAAACATGCATAATTTACAGATACAATTGGTTGGAAATGAACAATTTAAAGATGAATTTTAGCACTAGCTTTGTAATACATGTCTTATTATGATTTTTTGTTGTACTGTAAAACAGTAAAATTGTAATTTGCAGTAACAGCAATATATTACAGAAGCTTCACACAATTAGATTTTAGGATTTTAAGGTATGAAAATGACAGAGTACATACATTTATTATACCTGTGTAGCGTACTAATTTACAGTTTTACAACGTTTTAAAAAATGATTACTAATAGTAAAAGTTTTCATGTGAATTTGTCATTTATCATCTATCATTGAAATAATAACTTAAACAATAGTGCTAAATAGTTTATGCTATTATTGTTATCAATATGATTATTACCTGCTCATCTTACACTAAAAAAATGACATTTTCTGTTTGTTCAAACTTCTTAATTAAAATGAGCTGAATCAACACAATTCTTGAGTTTTTTTTTTTTTTAGTTTTAAGTTCAATCCACTTAAATCTGTAATTTTAATAAAATAACTTAATTCCTTCATGTTGTCCCAACACTGATTGATTGCGTGGAACCCAGCATTTTTTACAGTGTAAGGTGGATACATACAAACATACAAATATGCATAGATATGCCAGAAATTCATTTAAGGGTTTGCCTGACAACCTGCCTGATTACCAACCCTTGCTCTGTCGTACAGAAACACACACAAGCAAATATCGACCCACCAAATGCCTTCAGAGTCTTCATCACATTCTGCCCCAAACCTGCAGCTGGAACACCTGGAGTATGAGCTGGGCTCCAGGCCTGAGCTCTCCAGATCTACACACAAACAGACACACATAGTTGACAAAAAATATAATATTGCTTCGAAAATTTGCTAGGGCGTCCTTACAGGGGTAGTTCAACCAAAAAAAGTCATAATTTACTTGCACCTTTTACTTGTTTCAAAGCTGTTTGACTTTTATTCTTCTGTTGAACACAAAGGAGCTGGAAACCTGAAACCATTGATTCCACAGAATTTGTTTTCTCTACTATGTATTTCAGTGATTACAGGTTTTCCACTTTCTTCAAAATACCTTCTTTCATGTTCAACAGAATAAAGAAACTCATAAAGGTTTGGAATCTTCATTTTGTATCACCCTAGCTATCCCTTTAAAGTCACAATCAAACTTTTATCATGTGTATGTTATTTAAATTATTTTATTGTAGGGTGGAAAGGAGCTTTAGGGCACACCTGTATCTCCTGATGCAGATTCAGCATCTGAGAAAGAAAGGACAAAAATGTAAATCATCATGTCTGATTTAAGGTTTTAAGGGCACCGATTTTAACAATTTGTTCATGATTTATTATCTTATGTGTCTCCAGAATTTAATTCTGTAAGGTTTCAGCTCAAAATACCCATCAGATTTTTTATTATACCTTTTTAAATCTGGGAAATGTGAGTTTTAACATTGTAGCTGTTTTTGTTGCCTGTGCCTTTAATGCTAATGAGCTGGTTCTCTCCGCCCACCGTCCCCACGTTTGTCACAGCCATAGCCCTCATGTAGACAAACA